TTTGTCAGATATTTAGATTACATTTTATTCAAAAGATTTAGAAAATATCAAAAAATATTTCATTTAGAATAATTTGATAATAAATAGAAACAAATAAACAAAGTATATAGTTTAAGATAAAAAAAAACTTACCACTGAGGATCCAAATGTATTGACTCCCATTCATGGCTTTGGAGACAATCCTTGAGTTAGTGCTCTGACAATTTTAATAAAAATACCATTAAGACACACCAGTTAGTTAGAAGACTTACTGTCTTTGATGTTTCCTCTAAGTATTACCAATCACGTACTGTACAGGGTAATTTGTTCTGGATCATGAGGGCATGTAAATTTGCCGTCAGAGATGTTTGCATGAAGGACAACACACCCAGACGAACATCTGCTTATTGCAAACAAATTCCTGCCTCTGTGCTTTAATCAGTTTTGATTATCAACAATTTGCTTCTCTTCAATTTGTCTGTATGTTATTATTTAGTATTTACAATTTGCCATTTGTATTTATTTAGAAATTGTTTTTGTCTATCATGTCTTATCATGTCTTTATATTCAGCATTGTCAGAGAATTTAAAATGATCCTTGACAAAAGGCAGAGAATGGGCAGTAGAAACTCTCATTAATATGAAATGCACTTATTTTTTGTAATTAATTTAGTAATATCGTGTACAACACCTTTAAGATAATTATTCTAGTTAATTATTATTAATTATTCTAGTATAATATCTACTTTTCTCCATAGGTTACATCATTTCATCCTCATGAATAAGGGTTTAAAACTTATATCTCCTGGTTGTTGCCTTCCTTAAAGTTAAACCACGTTACAAAATACAGTTAAGTGACCATCTTTGTAAGGTCAGTGTTCCAAAACCTATTCTGTGTAAGTCTGAAAGTCAGAAGTTATTACACAACAAATATAAACTAAAGTATAAGTTTTGCTTTCTTTTTGTGGCAAATGGCGTTCCGCCCTGAACGCCCTTACTGCTCATCAGGAAAGTAAATCCACTTGTTTGTTTAGGAAAGGTCAGTGATGCATTTGATATTGAGGAACCGGGAACAAGTATGACTGCTAGCCTAGAGGTTTGTTTCATGTTTACTTTCATGAATCATCCCAACTGGTTTGGAAATCCATTTGGAACTAAAAATCTAACACACACTCTTATTAAATTACACTGGTTTGACTTATGCCCCAGTGTTCACACCATCCCTTTGTTCAAGAATAACAATATAATATAATAAAAAAAGAATATAATAGTGCATTTTTGACAAAACGTAGTAGACCTATATACATATTGAAAGAGATCATCCTCAAAAAATTACAAAAGAAATTGTAAATATGGCCAATTCACAATAGCTCCAGGAAACAGGAACCACTGGTGAACTGGTGAAACAGACTGTTAGATATTTGAAACATTTTATTTTATATGATAAATATGAAGAGAGTCTAATATAAATTGAACCATATTGTGTATGTGAAGAACATTTTAACTATTTTAATATACAATTAAATTAAACTAAGAAACGAGCAATGTGATGATGTCGACTTCCGGCGACCATCTTTGTTTGGCTGAAAATATACTTATATTTATAATAAATATAATAATATATAATATATTATAATTTATACAATTAACAGTACCAAACAGAACTACAGCGGGAAACGTATTTAAGGGAATTTAAATCAGTTACAGAACACCACAAAAATTAGACTTGTGTGAAACATTTATTCAAAAATGAATTCACTTGTATTTTTCAGAGCCGATATAAGATGTGAAAGCAGTCTGCAGAAGGCTGTAGAAGAGCCACCACTTGCACCATTCGTATGTTACCTGCAGTAAGTTGATAAGCATGATCCTAATAATCTGGCCTGCATGGTTCATAGTAAACCGTCTGTGAGATGTTTCACAGTTTATATTCAGTAGTGCATGTGTGTGGGTGGGAAGTTATGTTAAGTTACATAAGTTACATTATGTGGTTCTCATGACTTGCGTAACGTAACATAGTTATTTAAACCCAAACCGCAACTCTCTTTCTCTATACCTAATAATAAAGTAGTAAAAAAGCTTTCTGACAGAAATTCTATGTGGCAGCCTGTTGCAGCTCATACAGAAGCTAAAAGGTGGCCTGTGTAATGAGATGCTGAAGGGGCATAAAAAAATAAAAAACGAAAGAAATAATAATGATACTGATAATAGGAAACATTATTATCTAATCTGATAATCACCCAGGTCAATGATGGGTCTATCCTAAGTGTGTAAAATGTCTTTAATTTCTGCATTACTTCCTTGAGGGCTCACAGTGCTTGCTGATTAACATGATGAAGACAAGGAAAGTTGGATGGTACTTATGTCTGATTAGCAGTAACAGCATTATCATATAAAACAGTGTAATTTGTTTATGGCTCTAAAAATTTAAAAATGACATTAAGAGTTTAAATTTAAGATATGCTTAATGAATCTAGTCTGACTAACTCAGATGTTGGTGGTAATCAACATGTGGGAATATTGTCATTAGCCAGTAAGTTGTAACATCAATTCAAAGTTAAAATCCTCTTTCTAGAAATTAAATTAGTATCCCAGCAAGTTAAAGAAGTTCAGTAATATAAGTGCTATCTTCTGTAATTATTTAAGTGATTTTAACATGTTCCACTTGGCAGTATCCAAAGTGGGTATCACATATTCAACACAGTTTCTCCTATTTCAAAACAATTAATTTGACAATAATTTCAAATGTAGTTAGTGATAGTAGTAAAGATTTAATCAGTGGAACAGAGTTTTAATTTTAGTCTGTGTTTTAGAACAATTTAACAACTTAGTAAAAGTGCAAAAGTATCATATACAGTATATACATAGCATTCTTTTGAGCAGCTGCTCATTTACACGTGCATACATGAAAATATCAGCTAATGAAGACTTCCCAGAAAAAAAAAACCTTGTTGAATCATCACAGTGGGAACACTCACAACAAAGAAAAAAACCTTGTTGAATCATCACAGTGGGAACACTCACAACAAAGAAAAAAACATAATTATAACATAACAAAACATGTCTGACATTTGCTGGCACCATTATGAGTGTCACAAGAAACATAAGACATGAATGTAAATGTGTTGTGACACACACAAAGCAAAAATAATTATGATTCCCAAAGGTATATTCTGACCGATAACGTAATAATACTATGGTTAACAGAAAGTTCTACATTACTTCCTCGGCTTACACTTAAATCAAAATGAATTTACTTGTTTCAGAGTGCGTGACAGATGTGAAAGCAGAAGGCCGTAGAAGCGTCACCACCATGCACCACTCCTTCTTTTATCTTTGGTAAGTTGATATAAAAATAAGAATGATCCCAATAATCCGGGCTTCAATGTTTATAGTAAACCCCTTGTGAGATGTTTAACAGTTAATGTTCAGTAGCAGATACATATGAATAGGAAAGGTATCGTTTTCTTGTCTTGACTCATGGTGTCTTCAGTTTCCTCATTGCATGGCCAGACCCAGCACACCCACAGAGATCAGCAGAGCTAAAGTGTAGTAGGAGGATGGTAGAACAGAAACAATTTATTAGCACAGGAGTTATACCACAGGCGAACGGCCAGTGCTGTGTATGCCCCGCCATGAGGCCCTAATGCCCCTTCTAAAACTTTAATCAGCCATAAAGTGTGTAGATAAGCTGAGGTTGCAGTATAATAGTTACTGTGTGTTGTGGTTGCTGCCACAGAATAGAAATACAAAGTTGCTGTTTATGTAACATTACTTAAGCGATTTCTGGCATTAAGTATTACTGCTGCATTTTTGTTGCATTTTACTACTATATTAAGGAGCACATTTTTTAATATACTGTATATACTGTTCCCTAGTTTTGGCCTTGGTTCTCTACATTTTGGGCACGATGCCCCAATACATTTGTATTTATCAAAGGCCAAAGTGGCTTTGCCCAAAAAATTACATAATCCCGGACCTGTACATATGTAATTCCCCGGTACTTTGTGGATAACTTGGCTTTCTCAAGCAAAACAGCCTAATTTCTTATGCTTACCTTGCGAAGAATGGTCAGCTACACCGAGATGTTGGGTCCCACTACCTGCGCTAGTAACAGTTGTCTGTAAGGAAGACAATAAACAATTAAGTGGGTGGGAAATGTGCACTTCAACACGATCAATAAAAGTTACTTAACTTGATCCTATTCTGTTCTATTCTGTTCTATTCCACCATGCTCTTTTTTTAGTTGTTTGGCATCCCTCACCTTAAGAATTTCAAGTGTGGTAGTCCGTGGGGGAGCTGTTGTTACGGTTGTGGTGGGTGCTGTTGTTGTCTTGTATGTTGCCATTGTTGCATTTGGCACACTTGTAGTGTTGTCTCCTGCTGCTGTTGTCATGTGTGTTGCCATTGTTGCATGTGTCACACTTGTCATGTCTCCGGCTGCTGTTGTCATGTGTGTTGCCATCGTCGCATTTGGCCCACTTGTCATGTTGTTTCCCGCTTCTGTCGTCATGTTGCTTTCTGATGCTGTGGTCGTGTTTGAATTGGTCACATTTGACGCCACAGTGGTCTGAGCGTAAGTGCCTACAGATATCCAGGACAGCGTCACAAACAGGACGACAAGGACCAGTCTGTTGTCCATACCTAGAAAAAGTAGATTATTCAGTTAAATAATATACACACTTCATCTACAGTTAGTTATATAGTAACAGAGATTGTATCAGGGGAGCTCTGAGAAGATATTAAAAATGAAGAAATATTTAAAAGGTGAAATATTTTACTAAACATAATACCCAATTAACCTAATCCGTAAGTGACTGTCATAGCATCGCATTTGTGAACATGTTAACAAACATCCAGTGCTAAGCTACTCTCTTGGGGGTTGTGGAACAGAACATACAGTAGACGTTACAAAAGAAAAATAAAATAGAATGTAAAATAGTATACCATTTGAAAGCCAAAACATAATGTTCAGTAATTATGAACTATGACTATATCATTAAGGGGAAGCTGTATTGAAATAAAAACAATAATTCATATGTAAATCAATCATTTAACAGTATTGAATACATGAATGTATTCCTATTAACACAAGAAAATACGTCGACATGTAATTGAACTTACTGTGGTCGTTCTCTGGAAAAAGATTCCAATTTTTATTTGAACACATTAACAGGAATCCGGTTATAATTTAGGGTATAAAACCTAATTAATATGAGTAAATTGCTGAAAATTGTCTAATATATCTAATATATAAATATATTAGATTAAAAAAACTGCTCAAATTCTTTGCACACCATTTTACTGCATATTGTATAATGTATATATTTTTCATTTATAGTCTTATATTTTGTTAATGTTTTTTTTATTGTACTTGTAAACTCTGTACTCCCTACATTCCCCTATGCTGCTGTGTCTGACTTGAATTTCTCCTACGGACGATCTTTAAAGGTACATCTTATCTTATCTTATCATAAATGGTATGTCAATATTTGCAAAACGTGGAAAAGGAAGTAATTTATGAATAGATTTTAATGTCTTCATATATACATTGTTTTAGCCTACCTGTAGATGTCTTTAGTTCCAGGGATGGGTGAAATTGGATTCAGAAGCAAAAAGCAGTGCAGTTCCTTGAAATTAAAATCCTGTTTTATTCTCCTTACAGGCGGACCGCTGGCAAATCCCAGGTAAAGATGTGACACCTGTTCACTCTGTCTCACTACTGAAATTAAGTGGTTGGGAAGAGTCAGGATATAAGAGTCAAAAAAAAAAAAAAAATACTCTGACATCATGGTGTAATGTTTTCAGAGCGTGATGTGGGGAATAGGGGCTTAACGGCATGTGTGGTGATATCACAGTGTTTTCCCTGGATATTTTTTGTTTTTTCTAGTTCAGGCATGAGACACCTGCCCATATTCACACACGCTGGAGTAGCTTAAAATTTCAGCATTTTTAGCATTTTCCATAGATTTGTTGGGAAACATGAAATGTAACATTTTTCAGTACAAAATATGCAATTTCACATCATTTTGGACCATTATTAGGCCTATTGCCATGTCTGTGTACAAAAGTTGGAAAAACTAGAGCAGATAATAAAATCCCTCAGAGTCATTTAGTTAGCTCCACATTGACTTCTTCATTAATTGAACATGGTAAGCCTTTTAATTGGTAGAAAAAAGCTGTTCACTGGGTACAGGAAATAAACACAAGGACAAATTAAGAGTAAAATGAGTAATCGTATGTCATCAGTGGCAATGAGCCAGTAAGCATGTTGCAGAGGATGCTGGAAAAACACTGCGTTTACATCCAGAGACGGGGCCTATTGTTTGTTCTGTTGATAACTAAGTGAACTTTTTGTTGCTTGTTCACTAGCCTGTTCCGCTAATCTCTATTTGCTTGTCGTTGAGTTAGTTTAACACCGGGACAGAAGCCCCGGCGCAACCCCTCCTTGCCACCGCGAAGATGGATACCCTGCAGCTGAGGTGGAGAGTGTCACCCGGCCACATAGTTATTCCCTTGTTCTTCTTCTTCTTTGCATTACCCAGACGATATGCTACAATGGCATATCGTCAGTTACTTTCTGTTATTAATGTTAACTATTCATAGTTTTATATAAGTCATCCTTTATTAATTAATTTTCATTGTTTAAAAATAAATGTATTGATTGTGTTTTGGAAACTGTCTGTGATTATGTTGGACCTTCTTTTTCAATGAACCATTATGTGGGAGGGTCGTAACATCATTTGGGGACTCAAATTTACTGAAATATTTTCAGTGTGGTTTTTGTGGCATCTAGATTAAGTGGCAGTAGGCGTACTCTTAAGATGGATGTTTTGGTAGTTTGTCTGTGGCCAGATTGTGCTGTGTCATGCTTTTGGGTAACTTTGTGGGCACAGTTTTGTTGCTTTATTGGTGTTTGGTGCTGTACTGAGAGTGTGCAGTAATTAGTGAGTCAGGAATTTGCAGTTGTGGTAAGGCTCTTCAGTGCAGCAGTGTTTTCTGCTGTAGGCTGCTTTTGGTTGGTTCTCCTGAAAAAGGTGTTCCTACGTAGTAGTTTTGACTCATTTTGTTCGGTCCTTTTCATTGTTTAAATCTAAATTTATTGATTGTTTGCTGTTCTGTCTTTGTGATTATGTTGGACCTTCTTTTTCAGTGAGCATTATAGGGGGGTCGTAGCATAATCACCTGTATGTTTTGATGTTGGGGGAAACTGGAGCACCCAGAAAAAGCCATGCAAACACGAGTAGAACATGCAAACTCCACACAGAGAAAGCTCAGTAATTGTACCGTAAGGTGTAATGTAGGGCTATACGATATGATGATATATAATGTTTGACGATAGAAAACATGAGTTGCATCATGAATCAAACTTTTTATGAGAAAAATATTTGCTCTGAAGAGGCTGATGAGGATGTTTCACCAGTGTTTGCTCACAAACTACTTTTAATCTGCTCACTTTGATTTCTCTCTGTCATCCACACATGCATGAAATGTGCTATATTGTGATATATATCATTATCAGGATATGAAATGACCTGCATCAGGGTATGAGATTTTGGTCATATCGCAAAAAAAAGTCCCAGCCCTACATGATGAAGAGAAAAATATAATTTTTTTTACTGTCCAGTGCCTTCGTGAATGGTTCTCATATCTGATATAGCAGTAACAGAAGTGTCATATAGATATGTCTTCAACCTATGCCAATCTAGTCTGACATTAGATGTTGGTGGTAATCCAGATGTGGGAATCTATTTATAACTATCCAACTTGCAGAAGCAATTTTAATGAAGGTAAAATGTCTGACAAAACAGTATTATAATGTACTGTAGTGCTGCAGAGATGCTGTTTGTGGATTTATCTGTCCTTAAAAACTATTAATAAAAACCTTAGAACATATTGTTTTAAGTTTTGGTGAACCAAGAGCAAGCAACAGCACCAAAAAACACAGAAAAAATCCAGGGATATATGATATATCCTTGGGTTTTTTGCTGTGAATGGGCTAAATTCATTACAGGCCCAAAGCACAGTAGCAATAAGCTTCCATTCAATTTGATTGACAGGTGTCGTGACTTCATATTGGGAGACAGACAGAGACGAGGAGAATGAACGAGAGAGGGCAGAGCGAGGCGAGAGATGGAGATTGAGAGAGGATGAATTAAGGAGAGAGGAATGGCTGTAACGGCCTGCGTGGTGTAATGCATTTGTTAGCCCACCCACCCATGCCACAAAGATAATCAGCTTGAGTAAAATATTTATTTCAAAAATATGTAATAAAAACTCAATTGTTACATGATGCAATGTGCAAAATCAGGTTCACCAATATTTGGTGTCAAATATATATAGCCGCTTTTTTTCAGCAACTGCTCATTTGCATGTGCACTTGCTCATACATGCACACATGAAAATATCAGCCTATGCAGGCTTCATTGTAAAAACATTGTTGAATCAACAATATGTACATTCACACCAAAGAGAATAACAATAATAATAATGATAATAATAATAAGACACGTCTGCCATTTTCTGGCATCATTATGAGTGACAGGAGAGGGCAAAAACAAATTTTTTTTTGCTTGTGTTGTGCATAATGATTATGGTTCTTCATAAAGGCACGTTCAGAGGAATACCAAAATAATAGTATAGTTAATAGAAAAAAGTCACTGAGGTTTCTGCCTGACAGTAATAACGTGGGCTTTAAAGGGTAACCAGACCCTAAACCCAAAATTTGTATATTATTTGTATATGATGTTTGATACCAGATGTGAAAGCAGTCTGCAGAAGGCTGTAGAAGAGTCACCACCCTGCACCATTCCTACTTTCACCTGCAGTAAGTTGATAGAAAATTAAGCATAAGCTGAATAATCTGGGGCTGCACTGTGCATCGTAAACCTTCTGTGAGATATTTAACAATATATTCAGTAGCACATGTATATGAATAGGGAAGGTATGGTTTTCTTGTCTTGATGTCTCATGGGGGTTTCAGCTTCCTTATTGCATAGACAGACCCAGCACACCCACACTGATCAGCAGAGCTGTAGGGGAGAATTAGAGAGCAGAAAATCATTTATTTGGCATTGTACACACAAGTAATTCCCAGTACATGTAGGATAACTTTGCCCCCTAATGGGAAACAATCCTATCTCGTAAGCTTACCTTGCATCAGTGATAGTTGAAATGTAATAGCGTGGTTGGTAATCTCATTGTTGACGGTAGTGTTAACATTTTGCAGATTAATAACAGAGCTCCTGAATACAAATACTGGGTTTCCCAGAGTACCAGAAGCTGAGAGTACAAGGAAAAAACGAAAATATCACTGATATGTCTTAAGCACATGGTAAATCTTAAATATTATCGTTGTTAGTGTTTGCTTACTGCTGTTAAAAGGTCCAGTGGAAATTCCGACTGCGAAACTTGCTGCTCTTACTGCTGTGTTTGATACAGTGGCAGTAAATGTACACTGGATTCTGTTCCCACTGATGTTGCCCCTCACGTTGGACCCGCTCAGCTGTAGAGCAAAGACAGATAAAAACACAACGAGTTTTCAAATGTGTATGAAATAAATGTTTATGTTTGCCTTCATATTGTTTGAGCAGCAGGTTAAAAAACGGTGTCATTCTGTGCATTCTGATTGTCTGGTCAGTATTTGTAGAACAAAAATAAAATTAAATGGAAGTAGAGACATGGAAATTAGGTTCATAACCACATCAGATCAGCTGTATCGACTGTATTTAAATTGTGCCGTGCAATTTTAGATGACAGGCCATTCAGCTGAGTTTAATGAAGTCTAATTCTTAAATCAGCTCTTCCCCCGCCACTACTCGAGTGCAAGTGAAACTCACATCTGTCTGTGTCAGCTGGCCATTGTCGAGGGAAGCGCCAATGAACTTAACAGCACTGTTGTTGTTTGCACAGACGTAGGTTGAGTCGTTGCCTCCCTGCGGTGCAAAACCAGAAACGGTAAATAAAACCTGTTTACACTTCAAACAAACTGTATGATTAGCTCTGGGTTAGACTTCATGGTGCTTTCATCTGCGAGTGGGTGACAGAACTTGACATACCAGTGAGCTGTCGGTTGACAGGGTGGCAGCAATATAGCCGTTTGACTCTCCTGAAAGCTCAAAGTCAAAGGATTGACCATTGTTCTGCTTAGCAGAAAGAAAGAAACATGATCTTGCTCCGGAAGGGTTGCACGAAGAAGGCTCAGCCGCACAGAGCTTGCCGGTCTTACAATCTGAGTTAGAAACAGATGACTGCAAAGGAGATGAGAGACATTTAAGTGGGTGAAATCTGCACTTCTATGAGATTAAAATGCCTTCAATAAAAGTGCCATAACTTGATCCTATTATTTTCTATTGTATTCCACTATGTTCTTTATTTTTTTTTTTAGTTGTTTGGCATCCCTCACCGGAAGAGTTCCCACTGTGGTGATGGTAGTAGGTGTTGCGGTGGTAGCTGCTATGGTGGGTGATGCCGTTGTGTTGTTGGTATTGTTTCCCGCCGCTGTCGTCATGTTTGTTGCCATCGTCGCATATGGGATCACTTGTCACGTATGTATTCCCGCCGCTGCGTACAATGTTTTGTTGCCATCGTCGCATTGGGGATTCACTCTTGTCACGTTGTTTCCCGCCGCCTGGTCGTCATGTTTGTTGCCATGTCAGCAATTGGGATCACTTGTCACGTATGTTCCCGCCAGCTGTGTCATTTTGTTGCCATCGTCGCATGCACTGGGAATCACTTGTCACGTTGTTTCCCGCCGCTGTGGTCATGTTGCTGTCTGATGCTGTGGTCATGTTGCTGTCTGATGCGGTGGTCATGTTGCTGTCTGATGCTGTGGTCATGTTTGAATTGGTCACATTTGACGCCACAGTGGTCTGAGCGTAGGTGCTCATAGATACCCAGGACAGCATCACAAACAGGACGACAAGAACCAGTCTGTTGTCCATACCTAGAATAGGTAGGGTAAGATTATTTAGGTAAAAAATTTAATGGGACACTTCATCTACAGTTAGTTATATGGTAACAGAGCTTGTATCAGAGGAGCTCTAAGAAAAATTTAAAGGTAAAAAATATTTTAGTTAACATAATACCCAAAAAACCTAATCTATAAGTAACACAGCACCGCATCCCCGAACATGTTACCAAACATCCAAACAAGAACCATATTTAAAGATAGCAACCTTAATTACACTTTCTGTGATGTGTAACCATTTGAAAACCCAAACTCTGTTTTCTATATATTTTTTTTCTTAAGGTGAAGATGAAAAAAGTGAATCATCATGTAAACTAATCATTTAACAGTATTGAATACATGAATGTATTCCTTTAAGCAAATGTCTAACATGTTATTTAACATACTGTGGTTTTTGAGAATGCTGTAAACAATTTATTTGTTGTTTTATTTAAACACTTTAATAGCAATTAAGTAATATTATATATTAGATACGATTAGATATAGTATTGTTTACTTGATATTGCAAAATGTTCATAATTATCAATTACTTACAATCATATTATAATATGATAAATTCATTAAAAAAATATATGAAACTCTTATTCCAATGATTACATGTACACCATATGGTATTACTCCAGATGTAATTAATCAATAGATAATAATGACTTTTATATACATTGTTTTAGCCTACCTGTAGATGTCTTTATTTCCAGTGATGGGTGAAATTGGGTTGAGAAGCAAAAAGATGTGCAGCTCCTTGAAATGAAGATCCTGTGTTATTTTAGTCTGAGGTGTGGCTCACAGGTGGCTCTGATGCTCTTAACAGGATCCCAGGTAAAGATGTGACACCTGTTCAGTCTCTGTCACTATTTAAACTTAAGGGGTTGGGAGAAGTTAAGAGATCAGAGCCAAAAAAAAAAAACTCTCTGACATCATAGATAATGTTTCTAGAGGGTGGGGTGAGGAATAGGGGCTTAGGGGCGTGTGATGGAAAATACATGCATTTTGCCATGTCATTGTTTCTACTTCCTTGACGATTTACAGTGCTCATAATCTGATTAACATGATATAAACAAGGAAAAAAGAACCATTTTCTCGGTCCAGTGTCTTTGTGGACTATCTTTATATATGCTATAGCAGTAACACAGTAGTTTAATGTAAAACAATGTCTTATCTTTTTATACTGACTAAAAATGTTAAATATGCTTAATTAATTTAGTAGACTGAATCTAGTCTGAGTAACTTGCTTATTGTTGGTGAGGTTTGGTAATCTTGTCATTAGGCAGTGAGTAGTAACTTCAATTAAAAGTCCAAATTTTCTTTTGTAAGCCAATTCTAAGACCAGTTTAATTTAAAATTAGAATGATAAAAATTATGTTTAAGTAATTTTGATATGTTGTAATATGCGGTATCAAAAGTGGGTCTACAAAAAAATATTAATTTGTTTTTGCTGTAAGATGTAAAAACATTCAAAACACAAACAACATATTTGTATGTGAGTGTGTGCATGTTTAACTGGTTGGAATATGAAACCAGTCATAAAACTAGTGACATAATGCCAAAAACTGGTTTTGTCAGTGGCAGTGCAAGGTCTTGCTTCAATATCGCCATTGTGTTCTGTGGTTTTTTATAGAGTTGAACCCTCCATAATCATCAGCAGGCAAGTCCAGACAAAGCTGAACTGTCAGTCTATAATAATGGACAGTGGTAATTGTTCAGTTAGGTCTGCATATTGTATAGAAGTGAGATCACAATCAACTTTTGAAATTTGATATTTTATAAAAAAAAACTACAAATGTGCATGCCAGTTTTTCCCCTTTATTTACTGTAAGTAATTTGGAACTGTTCAGCTTAAAAATGTACATTCACTTGCTGCCTTATGTGATTTAGCTGAACTTGTTGAAAAATTGTATTTAAAAGTATTATTTGAGTTGTCAAACCAATTGTCAAGTTAAAAGAACTTAACAACAAAACATGTTCATTAAGCTTAAGATATTAAGTTGAACCAACCACGGTCACAGTGACAAAGAATACAATTCTTTATCGCACACAGAGAAGTCATAGCGGCTCCTGTTGGAGTTACTTTGTTCCAGCATTGGCATAAAAAAAATATTGTAAGCTGCTTGCAGTGACTTTCTTCAATTTTAAATGTAAAGGGGTAGGGACTAATTCAGTTCTAACCTTTTCCATGGTTCGCTGTGTTTTCATTATGGTTAAAACAAACCATGACTTATCTTAAAATGTGTTTCTTTCTTTTCTACTAGGCAGCCCTAGTTGTAATACAGGTGCCATATAGTTAGACACTAACACAGGAAAACTGGTTTCTGGAACAGGGTATTTCTGTGAGCCACATTCTTGAAACAGTAAATGTCGAATTCTCTTCTTTTAACTTCGACAGAAGAGGTTAATTTTCTTCTCCGGAACATCCCCAGTAATATGTAACATGGTTTAGAAAAGCAGGGAAAATAATAATTTTGCTGCATTGTTTTTATATCACTAACCTAAGACCTCAAATTATGGGATTTGTGTTTTTATGTCACATAAGGAATTGTTTACTTTTTGGCTTTACATTGGCTCAGGTCATTTTCTTGCCCTTTGCAAAACCTCCCTGATAACATGAAGATGACACAGACAGTGACAGTGATAATAGGAACATTCCAATATAAGTGCAAAAAAAAACAAAAAACATAAACAGTTACTATAGTCAATTTATATGGCCTAATGATCATGAATATGTTTGTCTGAACAGATGAATGTTTCATACAACCGACAAAGAGAATGAACAATGGCATCTGTGAGTCATATGAGGACGTGACATTCTTAGTCATTTCCTCACAGTGTTAAACTGTTTGGTTGCAAAGCATGTGTGGAGAAGGATTTCAGTTCATATGAAACTGATCTTGTGATATGTTTAAGCGCATATTTATGTGGTGATTCACACAGGTGGTTCATTTGTTAGATTCAACTAACAAAAAAAAAATTCATACTATATGTTAGTCATTAGAAATGTATGAGTAGCCTCTACAGTACAAAACTCTCCTTTTGCACAAATGTATAACGATTTTATATTCAGGTGAGGTGAGTCACAGAGGTAGATCATTTGTTAAGACCTGACTCATTTTTGTTTTTGTCAGTTTTCACCACAATTTTTTTAATATAATATAATTTAAAAAAGGAGCAGATCAGTTTAAGGTCAGTTTACATCCCAGCATTCTGGTATTTCAAACTGACTGGGGCGTGTTTGCTGTTTGCAGATTTCAGTTTTACTTTTAAAGCCATCATACGGAGGCAGTAGAGATGTTAGGACCAACAGCTGACAGCTTACTGTCCGAGAGTCAATTATCTAAGTTTATGTGTAGACAAAGCTAGAAGCTCATTTAACTGGCTGCTGGTAAAAGGAAGTACTTTCTCTCAGGGTTGAGTCTTTTCCCGAAAGTGCTCTTCATAACCGGGTACTACTGGTTCCTCCAGTTGGGAAATCACATTAAGAAGTTGCCTTAAACTACGCTTACAGTGAAATTCCACTTGTGCGGAAAGTTGTATGGACGTCCTTCAGTGTCAGAACTCACCCCTTATACACATATTAAGCACACATATGTGCTTAGGGCCCCATTGCTTCCTAGGCTTCCCTAGGAGGTGAGGACATTGGAGCACTTACTGACTCTGAGCTGACGAGCAGATATAATAATAGCCGTCTGTTTACACTGTGCTTATTTACATCCACTCATCTAACACTGTACGCAAATACCACACAGGCTACCAAATATTTACATACTCCTCCCTTTTTTCTCATTGTGTTATTATCCAAGCAATATTGCTAAAGCTTTATGATAATGATAATTGTATTTGTAAAGCACTTTTCAAGCTTAAGCATTAAGGGCTTTCCAGATTAAAACATGTATACAGAACCAAAATTCTTATTGATGGATGGTAGCGAGCATTAAATTAAGTGTAATATGCAGAAGAGCGAGAGAGAGAGAAACAAACGGAGTTGAGACGAGTCAGTTATGTGCTTGTATTAACTTTGGCTGCCAGAAGTAGTATCATAATCAGCTCACTAATGAGATACTTTCTCATTTTTATTCAAGTTACTTACAGTGTTTGTCCACACTATTTACTCTGATAATAACAGCTTGTGCATACATTTCACCATAGTGCTGCCACAAATGATCCAGCAGAGCAAAGGAAACTAAATTCTTCAAGGCACTTAATATTATTAGCCACCTTGTCATCGTCCTATCCATGTACATTAAAAAATCTGTTTGTTGTAAGGATGTGGGGGCTTGTTTACAATGTCACACGGGTAAAAGAGACCTTTTCTTTTCCCTAATATGTTTTCTTTACATTGTGGTTTGCTAATATTGACAGAAAAAGACTTGGGCGTGTATACCTGCACACTTGCATGCACCCTGGGAAAAGCATAGTTTCTGCTTCACTTGTAAACACGTGCAGCCTACTCAGGCCTTTGTGTCTCAGCGACGCATAACATAATAACATAATGATTATGTTATGTGAGGGTGTAAAAGATAACTTAATTAGTGTCACTTACACTTTATTTATTTCTGTAACAACCCGTCGCCCCATGATAAACTGTGGCACTGGCCATTCGCGTGGGTGTGCGTGTGTATATGAGAGCTGGAACTACTGTAGTAGAATTGTCAATACAAATACTTAACATACAGTACTGTCATGTGGCTATAGTGTAACCTTCAGTTGCAATTTCTCTCTTGTTAAACAGTGATTTCCCGGTCAAATAGACATATAAAAAGATTTTCTTCATTTTAAGTTTTAAGTTTTGGATCAGGATTTAAATAGCCATTTACTTCATGTACATAATTTACATGGGTTGGGCCACATGTATAGGAACAGGTTTAACTGATAGGTGAGTACTGCCAAGTATAAACAGTTTTCGGTTCGACGATGAGGGTTTTCATTGATGTCTCGTCAACCATGTGTTTTTGAAAAGTTCACATTAAAATGACTTCTGTAGATTAAGGTTTGTCAAGTGAACTTTAACTTTAAGTCATTTACAAAACAGTTACATGCTTATGTGCGGTGAGATCATTTGAACTTGTTTTTTTTTTATATATATTTGCATTAATTTGTTTTTATTCTAGTGTGTCTGATTTAGCTCGGCAAGATACACTTATTTGTACAGAATTCTCTTCAAACAAGTTGATATTTATTGTAGGTGTATATTAAAACATTTAAAACATGTATATTAAAACAACTCTAACGAGCACTGTAATGCAACAAGAACCTGCTAAAAACATTTGTGGAAGTCAGACCACAATGTTTGTATTAAAACACAAATCCGCAGAGTATGCATTCCATTTTACTTCTTTAAAATCCTGGTTACAAGATTGGTGCTGTTCATGCTCACTGTGATCAGTCAGTTTAGGTTGGCTTTGGGTTTTCTTTTGTAGAAAGTTTCTGTAGCTGCTCTCTCTGCCACTTTTGCTGCTGTCCAAAATATAAAACACATCAATCTGTGTGCAAACCAGTGTGAAAATGTCAATGATTACCACTCATTATGCTCATGTAACTTTAACGTTGTTTGATACTTTCAGCCATACAAATTTAAATTGGTTTCTCTTATTGGCCAAGCTTGCCTGTTTGTGCTACACCAGCTGCTGTGTACAGATATGTTAATACTCAGACAAAGAATTGTGATCTGTAACAGAACGCTTTATAGCATTCTATTGTATGTTTTTTTTATGTCTTTTTATAGCATTTTCCCTTTATTTGCAGGGCAGAAGAGACGGACAAAAAAGGCAGGGAGGGGACGACACGCAGCAAAGGGTTTCGAGCCAGACTTGAACCCAGGTGGCTGCGGCAAGGACACGTGGTGTGC